CGCGCCGCCCGCGGGCCGGGGGCGGGGGCTTCGCGGGACTTTCCGAGCGGGGACCTCGGAGGGGGGCAGGGGGGATGCGGGGCGGACGGGGCCTCCGTGCGAAAAGGGGGGGGCTGGCCGAGAGCGATCCTCCACCCCAGACCAGGGGCGCACGGGGCTCCAGACCTCTTCTGCAGGCGACACCCCGTTCCAGCCCCCCCACCCCGGAGCCGTTGGGCGGTGCCGGCGGATCTGTTTCCCGCCCCTCCACCCCCCATCGCGAGGGGGAAGCTCGCAGCGGGCCGGGTCAAGAACTTGGAATCCAGGGTCAAAATGGTCTACACTGTGGGCAAGTCCTTGCCCTCCCTGTACCTCAATATTCTCATCTGTAAAATGGAACTATCCCACCAAAACACACACACACACACACACACACACACACACGCCCCTGTGGTGATGGAAGGAGTTAATTCATGCGGAGTGCTCAGCCCAGGCCTGGAACACAGTAAGTGCTCAATATATGGCTGCTACATGAGTCTTGCACTGTAAGTCAAAAGCTCTGCTTTTCCGGCAAATGGATGAGTCAAGGAAGGAACACAGTCTCCAGAATGCCCTTCTACTGCCCACTCTCATCCCCCTCTCCTAGGTGCCCCCCACTGCCTGGTGAGGAGGAGGAGCAAAGGGGCAGGAATGGAGATGCCCCACTAGGTTCCCTCACTCGGCAACCTTCTGCGGAGGAACTGGGCTCTGAGTCCTAGAGCAGGTCACTCACTCACTCAACAAACACTGTGACGGTCGCCTCTGCATGCTGCTCACCCAGAGCTCGCTGTCCAGCGTTCCACCCTACAGGAAGCTGTCTCTCCCTCCCCCAGCTAAAGTTGTGTCAGGAGACACAGGACACTTGTCCTGCCCCCAGGACTCACCCACCCCTTCCAGAATGCCCACTCTGGCCCCCAAAGAGGAAGGGATTACCCCAAGGGGGCCCTCAGAGCCTTGAGGTTTTCTATGAGGTTTTCTGACTAAGGGAATGCACCGAGAACCGAAGACGGGGGAGGGAGGGGGAAGGACGAGCAAGGATACAACAAGAGGGCAGGGCAATAGGGTGGCAGAGATTCTTCAGAAGGCTTTCAGGCTGTTAGCCCCAGCTTCCCCTGGGAAATGACTGGTCCGGGTACCGACCTTCACAGTTTGCCTCGCACGGGCAGAGGGAGGTGGTGCGCTGGTCTCATTTCAGACATGAAGAAACTGAGACCTTGGTTCACAGCAATTGCTTCTCTCTTGGAGGGTCGGCCCCCAGCTCCCCTCCCTGCCCGCACTCCGGACCCCTTCTCTCTCACACACTCTGATGGGCAAAGGAGCCCTCAAGAGCCCCTTGTTCAAAGGCGGGGCAGGGCAAGGGAGATTGCCTTGGGCCTAGAACTATCCGCTCCGTTTGGTGTTTAGAGGCGCGTCTGGCTCCCTCTTGGCAGGGTGCTCCGGAACCAGGGCCGGGCCCTTCTGCTCTGGGCAGGGCCTCAGATTCCTGGGTGGAGGGAACAGCCAGGCCAGTGTAGGAAGCCCCCTCCTCACAGGGCAATCCAGGAGCCCCTCTGAGAGGCAAGCCCTAGGAGCACACAGGCTGGCCTGAGGAAAGGGAAGTCTTCCCTTCCTGAGTGATATCAGCACATGGGTGCCCAGAGAGCTGGGGGAGATAGGGAACCAGGAGCTGGGCCTGGGTCATAGTGGGGTATACACAGTGCCAGGACTGGGACCCAAGACCCCAGCCCTCTCCAGGCTGCTGCACCCCCTTGGACACGGCCCTCAGCCTCGTCAATCTGTCTTTTCAGTGAGAATGACTCCTGAGTGGACTCTGCATGTCCACTTGGCAGGGTGGCCAAGTAGTCTCCAATGTGCCAAGCTTCCCAGCCGGGCCTGGCCCCCAGGAGGCCCTCCTGGTGCTGGGACAGTGGGCCCTTGAGAGGGGCTGTGGGGGCTGCAGGATTCCCACCAAAGACAAAGAGCCCAGTGTGGGCTCCAGCCTCTTGGGTTCTGACCAGCTGCAGCTGCCTCATTGGCAAGAGCTGGGGGTGGGGTGGGGGTGGGGGTCACGTTCCCTCAGTGAGGGATGCACAGGACACTCCCCGGCCAGCTTCTGGTCCCTCAAGCAACAGCAGAATTTACATGTACTTTCTTAACCTGCAAGACCGCTTCCAAGAATGTACCCTCTGCCACATCACAGCATGTAAGCCTGAAGATGGATGGCCGACAACAAAGGGACAGGGAGGTAGGTGCTTATATCTTCATCCTTCAACTCTCCTAGGGTTCAAATCCCAGCTCGCCCACTTGTCAGCTGCATGACCTTGGGCAAGTC